ATGAAAAATGATGCAATGACATCATTGGGCATAATTTTTAATGAAGTGAGCAAATGCCCTTCTTTGTTTGATCAAGCCCATATGGCGCTAATTAATCACCATGTATTTAACATGGATTCTTACCAATCATTTGCATTAAACCGTGAAAAATTTCCTTCTGCTTCATTTAGGATGTGAGAAATGTTCCTGAGTCATATACAGTAACATCTGTAGCATACACAGGCACAAAGTATTGCTTGACTGTATTATGAATGCATAAAGACCATGACTGATGAAAGCAAACCTCCATAAAGAAGGACTGGTAATCTGACTTCAGTCATGAAATACACACCAACCCCAAATGCCATGGCAAGCCAAATTCACAAGTCTGCCTCTGATTCAAGTCAAAAGTCCCAGAACATTTTGTTCCCAGAACAAAATTTCCTGATATTTGCCTGCACTTCCACTAGAGGGCATGGCAGTCAACCAGACTTCCCAGGATGGTAGCAAGAAAGATGTTCGGAAGAATTTCATATGCAGACTAGTTTATCCATGCATAGCCATTTGTTATGACATTCACCTGAAAATGCTAACAAATTAGAAATTAAGAAGCTATTTTATATACTTATATTTAGAACATGCATCAATCATAATTCCTTCTTGCAACCTATTAGAAGTGTTAATCAACAAAATCTCCAGACTGAAGATTAACTAATGGTATTTTCCATGCATGCTATGTCACAGTTTTCTGACAGGTAATTCAATTACAAATATAATGTAGGAATGAAATTAGTCTTCTGCCTTAAAAGGTTTACACATAGTCTTGTCATTGAGTAAAGGAAAAGGAAGATTTGCTTTCGTTCTCACTATGTTACTAACTTCTTCAACATGTTCAAGTTTCCTAATACTAAAAAAACCTTAAGTTTGGGAGTTTTGACCCAAAGAATAGCTAGAGTGTTATCTAGCTATTCAAATAAGATGCACAGTATTTCTGTTGTTCTGCATCAACTGGTTTTATCTTTGCTGTTCAGAGAGTGTTTCATTCTATAAATGCTGTACATTATTAAAAGCACAGTGTAGATTGAGTAATGTAACCAGAGTTACTTATTAATATTAAAAATTGCTGAAAACCCCCACAAATTGTTCTACACTTACAGCTAATACATATAGACTTTAGAGCCACAAGAAAAAGAGATGTGCTTCTGGGTTTTAAAATCTTTACTGCTTTGAATAAAGAAATAACTATTAATAAACATAGTATAATATAGAATACTTTGTCTGAAATGACAGAATCTCAAGTCTTCAAAACTGATAGAGAAGAGAAAGAGATCGATTCTGCCTGGATTGATAGGGAAAAGGCATTAGATAGATTTTTTTTTTAAGGATCTTTCCTCCATTAGGATTTGGGAGGAAAAGGTCAGGAAGCTGTTTGTGCTGGCAGAACTGGTGGTGAAGTTAGTGGATGTAAACCACACTTACTAGGAGCTGAAACCTTGGTCCTTCTGACATTTAAAAGTAATGATATTTTGTACAAAATTACAACAAAAGTTTGCTTTCCTGCAGCCCTAAAAAGGACAGTATCTTGTATGATCTAGGATATGTCTAGGAGCTTAATTTATATCCCTTTTCACAGATGCATTAATATGAGGGATGATGGGGTTACATTGACTAACAACATTAACTAAAACTACTGCTGTCTTAAGCTGGCACGCTTCGCATTCAGAAATTTGACACCACAGCTGTAACAGGAATAACTAACCAGTGCTTTTTAGCTCATGCAGAAATGTTAGAGGAGCACAGTTTCACTTCAGGTTACTAATCTGAACTCTGGAGCACTCTCCAGTCACACTTCTCCATTTAATTTACTCAGCTTGCTGGTCAATAGCCCTAAGATTCATTTTTCTCTACTCAACGGAGAAAGAGATGGAGACACCCTTTCGAAAGGTGATACTTGCTTGTGTATTCTGAATTTGTGTGGTTTTCTTCTAGGTACAAAAGACACCTAAGCATAGTAGTTGAATGACTTAGTTTAGTGAGATGGCTGAAACCGGGCCACCTCCTTTGAACTTCTATGTGCTAACTAGGTTCTTCATAGCTCTCATCTCCAGAAGGTATCTGGAGAACAAAAGTAGGCGCATAAAAACCAGGCAGTTCAACAAACTGTCTTTAAACTTAACTTTACACTCACACACTTGCCATGGCCACTGGGCTGACACACTTCCAAATGAAGATGGTGGACATGTGGTTCCAGTAAGACAGAAGTCAAAAAATGCTCATTTCCTTGCCCCTCTTGCTCGACCATCCCATCCCATCCCATCCTGCTTGATATAGGTTAACATCTGGTTCCTTGCAGGCAAAAATAAAATTTGAACTTCAAATTACTAATCAAATTTGAAATGCAAATTTCTAATACCTTGAACTTAAAGAAACATTAGTAATTAAGAGAAAGAATCCATTTCACTTAATTTTAGATGTCTAAAATTAAAGCAACCAATCTAAAATAGTCATCTAGGGTTCCTTCAACAATTAATGCTAGAAGAGGACAATTCACCTGTCTTTGACATCTATCTGAAGATGAGGTGAACCATTGAAGATAGTAGGTGGTTTTTCCTTTTAATGATGACTTAGGGAAGTTAGACAATTTAACAAACCCCTATTTTTTACGTGAATTCTACTGTAGATACTAGTTTTTAAGGCTAAAGTTAAACAGCACAAATCTCACTCTGAAAAAATTGTTTGTAATACAATCAATGTTTTCCCCAAATTAACTCTTCATTTCCATGTAATAAGTAAACTGCACAAAGAATTGACTGAAGACTATGTGCCAGAGGCTACCAGTACTGACACAGGAGGGTAGGAAGCTGACTATGGCTCAGATCATCAGCAAAATGCCTTCTCCTTTTTCTTTTCTTCAACACCCAACCTCCTTTCATTCTGATCTCTTTTGCTATCTAATTCCCATGATACAACATTTTTGCAGGTCTCTAAAGACTTTGACCTTTTTATAGCGATGCTAGGCAATCATCCAAAAATAAAGTGTGCACAACTCAAATGGAAAATTTTGAACAGTGGATGTTAATCTGCTGGATACAATGTTTTCCAACATAACATCAAAATTATTTTAAATTTCACTCCACTGCACTTAATGGTTGAAATAGGCTAATTGCAAAGATAGTACATTAGGCATGTCCCACTTATTTTAACAGGTCTTTCAGGGAAGCAAAACCTCTGCCAGCTTAAAAGAAAAATATTGAAATTTATGAGTCATTTATGATCTGTTAATTTCTTCCTCATATATTTCTACTGAATGAGCTGCGCTGTATATTATTACTATACACTTTGTTCACTGTGGAAGTACTACCTGAATTTAGAGAAAATTAAAGCAAGCAAGTATGAAGTGTCTAATCTCTGAGGTATGGACTCTGTGGACGGTATCAGAAAGGGAAGGCATCTGAATTCTACTTATATCTCACTTTAGGGGTCTAGACCGAAGGTGAACTGGAGCTCCCATTGCAGACACTTGGTTTTGTACACTAACTAGGTCGGCTAATCCTGTACCCAAGGTGCTCTGCTACTCATTAGAATGGAAGAGGTTGAAGAGAAGCAAGGATTTGACCCTAGGTTTCCCCCTTCCCAGCCTCACATGAGGTTACTGGTTCTCCTCATTCTGATATTTGTGATCAGACATTCTGAACCCAAGGAACATCTCTGATAAAATCTGTTCAACATAGAGATATTTATGGGAAAAAAAATCCTATTTTGTTCAACCTGCCCTGTGACAGGACCTAGTTGAGAAAATTCAATGTCTAGAAAATACAAGTATTTTGGTATGCCTAAAGCCCTCTGTAAGAGACAAATACTGAAATGCTAGGACACTATGAAATGCAGCATTTAAACACATGAATTGAAATAACCTTAAACACTTCAATAATTTTAAATACATTTACAGTTCCACTGCAGTGTTCTGCTGGATTATGGATTACTGAAGATCCCAGGTTATAATTTCAGCAATCTGCAACATGACTTTGAACACCCTCATCAACTTTCCTTTAACAAAGAAAACGAGGTGCAGCTAGTTCATATACAGAGGCCAGTTTCTGACTTCCCTAACACTCCTTCCCATTGCATGAACAGATCAAAAAGCCTCCAGCTGGACTTGTCGGATAGTGGTCTGTCTAGAAGTGTTCTGAAGTAGTAAATGATGCCATCCAGACTTTTATCAGACTGATTTCCTCCATAGGGATATTTTTTTTTTATAGTTCCTAATTCTTCCTGTGTCTTATAACACTTAAAGTCAAATTTTTGAGAGTTTAGACATTGGTAGATGTAATTATAGACTACCAAGCCAATCCTACAGCCCTTATAGCTGGTGAGAGTTTTGTCATTAAGTTAAATGAAGACAGGAACTGTGTATCTAAAAAAGCACTAAACCAAGAATAGATTATTATCAAAGATGAAAGACATATTTAGTTATTGATAATGGAAATGAATTAAACTACTTTTAAACCAGAGATATCAAAATTACTATACAAGGACTTGTTTCAAATCTAGTAATTTATCATATGCATGCAAATAGCAAAATAAAAGCAGGTAGGTAAGGAAATGAATACATAGATTGGAAGAAAGGAAAACAAAGCCTTTATGAAAGAAAATTCTTTAGATTAAAAATCTAGTAATATTTCTGATGTAATACCTTATTGGCATATAGATTATACTGATTCATAGCTAGCAATGACATGATAATGTGTGTTCAAGTTTCACTTGCCATGGATACGTTAATCTGTCACCTCCTCGTGGGAAGTTTGCTTATTGTTTTAGATGCACAACTGCAAAAATCATCATAGTCATCGTAGGCTAGCAATGGAAGACGGTTTATATGTGCAACATTTTTCATAAATTCTTATGTTCTCTTATGTTTTCATAATATCCTATGGTCATCTCATTTCAATAATTTCTGATTGTATTTTGGCACTAAATGAAAGAGGGGGTGTGATACAATTGAAGCTGCACTGAGAACTCACCTGATTCTGCCCCGAGGGCGTTCAGATTGCTCTGACATAAAACTTGTGCTGCTGAGGCGTGAGGCACTGCTGGTTCGGGAAATGGCTGACACATCACTGACATCACTATCTGATGATTTGGCAGAGACGTTATCACAACTTCTGTACTGATCTGTTTGTATATTATACTAGAGATCAAGAAAAGAAAGGGTGAGGAGTCTCATCAAAACATAGCGCATATATTGAGACAACAAGTGACCTAAGTATGACAACTCTGTTTTTACATCTAACAAAACTGTATGAAATTTAGAAAAATGCCTATATTAAATAATGTCTTTATGTCTAGTGAAGAAATCAAACATGATATTTATGGACTAAGACACTTGAAATAAATTACAGCATTGGAATTGAAATAGGCTGCTGGTTCTTTAGTGTGCTGGAACTATAATAATGAAGTATTTAGGCAGCGGACATACATCTTCTCAAGCACATGCATACCATCTATTTGGCTATAGACCCTTTTTTCAACTTTTCAAATACTAAATAAACATGCTATGAAATACCTGTACAGAGTTAGCCTGGAACAGGAGAACTGTGTGTGAGTCTGAATGAAATGTAATGCTACATGAAGCTGACATTGGGGATTGATTTCAATACCTAAGTTCTATCAGAAAAGGAAAAACCCCTACATTTTCTACATCAAAATATCTCTTTGTATCATGATACTAGAGGACTAGTCAGGCACAAAGCTAACTGAGCAAAAATAGTATTTGTTCTCAGGCAGATCAGTTCTCTGATCTAGTTGCTTTTATATGCGCACACGGGTGAGAACTAGCAGAAGACCCATCAGGAGGAATATGTGGACGAGGGTAGAAGTCTTTTCCCTTTTGCTAACAGCAGCAGCTTTGATTAGTTAAAACCAACTACGACACCACACCGCCTATCACATAATGCTCGTATTACTCACACCATCAGTCAGACGTGTATAAAAGGAAGCTTCAATCCTAGCAATGTCACACTTACCTAAATTTTCAGTCACACAGATATGAGGATCAAATCATTGCCAGGCTCGCAAACCTAAAACCCACTACCAATAGAAAGCAAGGTAGCCTTGGCTGGGAAGCGACTAAAACAGTGGTATACCTCCCAGGGAGTATTATGGGAAAACTATTAACACGTGGGAAGACTAGGCAGTGTTTGACATGACACGCTAGGGAGTTCATTTTCCAGATCTGTGCTCTGCAAAATTGCAAGTCATAAAAATTTATTTAAGAATTATATGGAAAGCTGTGACAGTGTGTGAATATCCCCAGCTCAACTAAGCACTGGGTTACAGGCTGAGTCAGTCAGCAAATGTCATGACTTAACTTTAAAAGCCTGTCAAACACAAGCTCACGTTTGTACAGGTGAAGGTATCAGGCCTCCTGTCCTCAAGCCAGGTTTATCTTCTCTTGCTCCAGAGCCTTTCAGCAACTATGTTTGAGGTCTCCACAGCACACCTGGAAACCTCTTGGTAAAACATCTAAGATAAATGAGGAAGTTAACAGGAGTAGAGAAGGGGAGAGAATAAAGAGGATCCTAAGCACTGACTGTAAATATAAAAATCTGTAGGAGAAATGGAGATTATACCCATTTAGTGTCTCAGCGTGTGTTTCGGGGTTACTCACAGCTCCTGGAAGGCATACGCCAAAATTAAAAACACAAGCTAATTTTTTAATAAAAACCTGGGGGTTTGACCTGAGGACTGTGCATTGAGGAAACTCTTAGCAATACCCTGTGAGGGGCTTGCACTGGCTGACTGAATAAAAACATCTGCAGGAGAGAAAGCTCTGGTTTACTAAGGGTAAATTTTCAGCTTGAAATACTAAATGAAACTCTGCAGATAATTTCAGAGTAGCTTCGAGCATGATGACTTTGAGCTCAAATAACATGTCTAACAGGCTTGACATGGAAACAGATGCAGCAGACCTCTGGTTTAATAAGGTGGGTAACACAGAGGACTCAAGAACTCCAATATTTAAAAATATTTTCAACTACAGCAAAGATTTATTTGGAGATTCTCTTTCCAAGTGACTAGGTGTGACTCACTTGAATATAAATGACCAACAGGGTTAAGGTGAGACTATGCTGATATGTTTATTCAGATCACCTTTTGGAAATGGCTTGTAGAGTCTGATAAATAATTTTGATGCTTGTCCTCTTTCAGACTCCAAAATAAACCTCTCCGAAACAGAAATACAAAGCACACTAATTCTTATCAGCTCTATTTCATAATAATGGAATATTTAAATTTCTTTAGATGACATATTTTTCTTCTAAAGTCTAAAAAAAATTCAAAGCCAGAATAAAAGCTATGAAAACTTTTTACTTAGACTAAACATAAATATTCAGAGGCTGGAAAACTGAATGGTTAATTTTTTCCAGTTTAAGTTAAACTTCCCCACTCCTGAGCCAGCCTTGATATTTTATGAAATATTCCCACAGAATTCCTAATGAATCCTTTAAGCTTTCCTAAAATGAGGCATCTAAAAACGTGAAAAGGATCTGAACACATGGAATGTTCTGGCTGCAAAAGAAATCATGATCCTATTAAATAATAAAATTTCTGTTGACTTCACTGAAATAGGTATTTCACCTTTGCTATATATTTAAATTATATCTAGAAATGATTCCTCTGCAGGTGAGGTTTTAAAAACACTTTGTTTAAAATATAACCATGCAATCTCTCTCAAATACATGGGTTTTTATGCGTGGTAACAGAGTGTCTCAGCAATAGCTCCATGTTTTATTTATATTTGCTGAAGACAATCTGACTTCCCCCCTCCATCATTATGATGTCTAGTTACTTTTCTTCCTCACCAAAAAGTTCACATTCTCTTTGTGGCCCTTGGTTTGAGAGCGCATGCAGTAAATCTGGAATGGTAGAAGAAGATTCATGTGGTCGCTGAGCAAGTACAACATGGTGCTGGAGAAGGCTGACCCAGTCTGAGCTCTCCCATGAAGGGAACCATCAAGGCCAGCTCCAGTCATTTCCCTTGTCCTGCTGGAAGCCCTTCTTCTTCTTCTGTGTTGAGGGAGGTATAGGCTGCTGGCCTTTGGCCCAAATCACATCTGAATCCTGCTGTTTGTTTAGCAGTCAATTTATTATTCAAGAGCAAAATATCGAAGTTGAACACAATGGACTATATATGCCATGTGAAGCAGCAGAAGACCCCCTGTTTCACTCGTACAGAATTTGCTCCGCATTTCGTGGGCTACCTACATGGGCTGGGAAAGATGGGGAGGAGAGAGAGAGAAAGCATCAAGCATGGTTGTCCAGCTTACTGGTTAGGATACTGGAAGAGAAGTCGTAAGTCCCTGCTTGCGTATCAGTGACCGTTTAGGGACTCAGCCTCAGTGAATGACTGTTTAGTGTCAATATGAAACCATTTATTGCTGCAGGGTCGTCAACCCAGGTATCATCCCCCATAAGTGGGGACTGTGTAGATACCCTCGCTTTCTCTTGCTCCCTATAGTCCAGCAGTCTGTACAAAATGGAATTGCTTTGTAAGTATCAGACTGGCTTAACAGCCTGCCTTTCATACGCTGGTAAACAGAATTTTACAGTGAGATGGGAGATAAAGAAAAAACTGAATCCATGTCTTCTACTTGCCTTGGTATTCCAATCACAGAGCTACTGCATAAAACATGGAGCATCCCTTCCTAAATGAGTTTTTCATGGTGTGGTTGAACTTTTACTACCCCTTTATACTGTATGCCAGGGCTGTGATTCCCACGAAACTGAAAACCCTTCCCTTCACAGAAAAAGATTAGCACAAAAAGTGGTGATGCTGAAAGTTAATGCTGAGTGCTACAGCATTTACATTTTCCGGATTTAGCTCTTCCTTCCTATAGCTGCTGCTTCTACTGAATTCACTGTCCTCTACAGGAGGCATACAACTTTTCCCACTTATTCCCCACCGGTTACCCCTTTTCGGTACAATCTGATAATCAGTCATCTCAGCTAACAGAAAAAAAAACTGAAAGCAATTTTGAAGTTAACCTTTTTTCCCCTCAAATATAGACAGAAGCAAATAGTACTCTCCCACAAAGCAGTGATCATTAAAAGAAGAATATTTTACTGTTGCAATACACCTGAACTTATGATTCAGAAGAAAAATGTCACGGGCTAAGATCCACTTATTTGGTATCTGCATTAAAGTAATGCCTGCAGTTTTCCGACTGGGCTCAAACATAATATGATACAGTCCTGCTCATCATAACTCTGCATGTATTCACAATAAATTTCCCTGTCATGTTATATTTAAATATTACATAATTTTGAAGCTTCAAAAGAAAGTGAATTTTCAGTGCAATCACTTCTCCTTCAACTCTATATCTTACAGAGTTAAAGCTTATGTAACATTTCTATTCCGAGGTGCACTATTTATCACATTAGGAGAGTTGCTGAAGTTTGCAGCAACTTTGACAGCAATTACTAAAGAGTAGGCCTGTTTTTTTTAAACAATAGCAGCTAGCTTCAAATGTCCAAACAATCTAGCTGCACTGTTTGCTTCTGCATTACAAAGACAGAAGCTTTTTCAATATAATTATTGGAAATATAGACAGCTGAAATGCAGTTCTTCCATTCACTTTACCACCTGTGGAGTTGCTGCTGCTTCTACACCAGCAAAAGGAGAAAAATGGGGTATGATGTCCAGGCCTCATCTCTGACTCCTTCCAGCCGCTGGGTCTCTGTCTTAGGAGCAGCTCACCTGATGGCCCAGCGCCCAGTAAACACCAGTGATTCTGAGTAACTCTCCCCATAATGGTATCCAACTCAACTACTGGGAACCCCGCTCAACTACCTAACAGGGAACAGTAAAAATGAGCAACTCAAACCATGGGAAAACTGCAGTGAAGCCCACGAGGCAAATCAATGGACCTCACTGAATTTTGTGAAACCCTACCAGTACTGGGATGACTGTTGTATCAATATGATATATAGTAAATATTTTTTTTCTTGAAGGCAGATGAAGGGAGATTAAAAGAAGATACTCATCACATCAATGTCCGAGAGCATTTTCTATACGTAGCCTTTTACTTTACTTTTTTTTTTTTACTTTATACTATTAAGTGTATACTATGGTGTTCTGATCAGTAACTCTCTTGAATACACAGTCCTTCCAAAAAAAATGTGTTCCACATTCTCTGGAAAGCTGGGGCAGCTGCAGCATGATGTTTGTGTTCTGCGTGTGGCATCTGGAATAAAAAACTTACTGTATTTTGAATTAAAAGCCTAATTAAGATATACTGTCATTTATATCTATGCAAATCCAATACTATGCTGCCAAAGTGTTTTTATTCTTGCGAACACTGAAACAGCACAAATGCCATGACAGCCTTACCAATACACAAGAAAGAAGGCAGACAGATGTTTAAAGCTGCTCTTTAAACCCTTTTGCCAAATCCATAGAGGGTTTATTGTTTTGTTTTGGTTTTTTTCTTTTTTCATTTAGCTTTTTGGAATTTAACTGTTTCACATAAATTATGCGAGTCTCTCCACTGGAACTGAAGGAAATAAGGATGTGAGCTCTGTGAAAGTCTCAAAACAATTAGAGCGGAACAGCCATCAAGACCTATATGAATGTTGTAGAGCAGACAGTTACCTATTCAAAATCCATTAATGGATGTTTCAAACAGAGATGTTTAAAAATGTTTACACACTAAATTGCATGATGCATGCTTGAAAAACTAGTGCTTGCTTACAGAGATTAGAAGATTGAGAAACTGAGAGGGAGAAATTACAAAAATGGAAGAAATGCACCAGAAATGGACTGGAAATTGCAAAAGCCATGTTATGATACCTCTGAAAAAATGCTTGTTTCAGTATAAGAGAAAACATATTTAAATTTAAGGAATTAATTTTGCATACACATAATTAACTATTGCAAAGGAGAACCAGTCCGTACTGAAGGAAAACTTTTGAAAGGTTCAGAGAATTTTATATGTAATAAACCAAGCATATTTGCAAATGCTAAAATAGTGGAAGAATCAAATCCATGTGAGCTGTTTGCTCTGAAAAGTAGAAGGGAATATTTCTCAATGTGCAACACAGCATAACTTCTCTAATAATTATAAATACTTATTTTCTAAAGAAGTGGACAAACAGTGCTACTTGGGAAAGAAAGAAGCATTTCTGCTGAAGAAGGACAAACTTTGCTTACAACTGCCATTTCTTTAATAGCCATTTAATATTTCTTTCTCACCATCCCAAAAATGTCTATTAGACCACTGAACATTTTTTCTTTTTTATTGCAAGTAAGTCTTGCTCTTGCAGCTTTCAAAGAATTTTCACAGATTTTGGCAGCAGAAATTAGGTATAGTCTTAAGTCCTTAGATGTCTCAGTCATCAGCTTACTGCACCACCTGATATAACTTACTACATTTTCATTAGAGCTGTCTAAACCTTCATCTGTCACGTTTATTATCTTGACTTTCAGCATCTTCTGAGGGTAAAGAAAGGCAGTAGCACAAGGTTTGCTTTAGTAACACTTCTAAAATGGTGACTATCACCATAGAAATATGAAGCAAACAGCTACATCACTGAATATAGTACAGTGTTAGAACGTGCTAATATAATTTGATCTCAGCACTTAAAAATTTATTGTAGGTTTTACCATCCTATCTAGGACTACACCATTTTCATGTAGAAAATACATGAAAAGTTAAAGATTTTTGGCTTTAAAGTCCAGGACAACTAATTCATTCTCCTTACTACTGTTTTAGCATGGAAAGGAGTACCTGTCTGTCAGAACACTGGGTACTCCAAAAATATTTTTCTTATAACAGCGGACAGAGAATTTGCTTCCTCAAAGTTGTGGTCATACTTTTAAAAAAAAATTCTGAATAAAACAATTTTCAACAGAGTTTGTTCCATTTTGTACTCATTGTGGTATGATTTCAATTTTGATTTCGTTTCCACATATATTTAAAAACAAAAGATGACATTAGAAAACTCTAGGTACTAGAGGATAAGAGAAATTTGTAACATTGCAGGTTGATGTTTTCCAACGAGTATTTAACCATACACTGGATCTACATTAACCCAATAAGAAAAATATATTAAGGAGCAAAAATAATGCTTATGATAAATATTAAGGAGAGTCAGGATTAAAAAATATGTTTCATAATGAAAAAATACAAACATTTGAATCAATCTGTAAGCACAGTTAATCCAAATCAGAAAACTGGCCTTTCACTAGGAACAAAGATATATGTTTGGTCATCCTGGCCAAAGTCCTCAGATCGCACATTACCTTTCTCTCCTGCAAACTTTATCAAACCCATTTTTACTATTTTTTTAACATGTTAACTGGTTGGGAAGTACCACAGAGATGTGCTGCATCTCAGCCTCTTGGTCCTGAGTTGACCTCTTCTGAAGGTAATGGCAAACCCAATTAGAAGAGCTCATTTGATATTATTATACAAATTCTGTCTTCTGAGAGATGATCTCATTGGAAATTTCCATCCCAACTGTTGGGGTTTTTTAATAGCACTGATATCCCACAATTTGGCAATTGAGGGCCTAAAGCCTTGATTCTCTTATTTCTCTTCCCTTTGAGAACTGTTTCATTTACATTCTGTGTTCACAGTGAGGTGGTCTCAAAAAAGAAACATCCTTGTTAAAGTTATCTCCATATTTAACCGTAACAAGATCTTGAACAAATCTTTCAAATCTGTTAGATATTACAAGTTAGATGCCCGATTTCCTATTTACCCATCCCTAAAGTAAATTTCTGATTTTGTTTCTGCTGAGTACCTCACTTATCCGTTATTTTAACCTGTGCCTCCAGGAGCATGCATCAGTTCTGTGAAACACGGGGAAGTGACCCTGGAGGGGGAAGGACAGAAAGTCCAGTGCCTGCACTGCCGGAACAAATGCCAGGAGCATTCTGATGTCCGCAGCTGTTGAGAGGTTGACGTTGGTGCTTGCTTTCTGTATGGCACCTGCTTGCAAATGGAATGGTCGTCTCTTTTAAAATGTAGAAATAAAAATACAAGCGTTTAGTTCTTAGTGATGAGAAGAAAGTCTTTGAAAAGTGGCTCTTGAAGCACGAAAATCTAAATTAATAAAAGCTGTGATTTTCTTCCAACTACTGTTATTCTGAGACCTTATTTTTAATGCACACAGTTGCTATGTGTGTCTTTGAATTTTTTACGGTGGACTTTTACATTTAAAGTGCCGTCCCGTGGTCACTCATTGAAAGCACTTAACTCTCAGTGGCATCAGAAGAAAAGAATTGTAGGAATGCTTCCCCCACAACTGAGTTACTGCTGGTTTTGCCCCTGCCCTTTACTCTGCCTACACCAACACAGTGCTGTATTTCTAAAAGGAAACACAGAATCTAACTAAACATTTTCCCTCCTGACTTTTGCAAATGTTCCCCCTCTGTTAGACATCACGAGGCAAAACATCTTTAGCCGAAAGTTCAGCTCCAGTCCTTCACAGCTTGATTTGTAAAAGTGGCAGTGCAGATGTGCAAGATGATTTCAGCAGTTTGCTCAGAAGCCTATACAGTTTTAAACATACAAGGCTGTGGGATATCATTTTAGTATTATCAAGAAAAAAAAAAGTCCCTCTATATAGCTTCATTAATGTAATTTCATGTACACTTAATTATCAGAGGAAATCTTTATGAAAAGAGATGAAAGTAATCAGTATGTATTTCAAGAAAGGAAATACTTTATCTGTGACATTATTAGGATATAAAAAAATTATACAAATATGAGAACATCTGCATGGGATTGCATCTAATTCTGTCTAGCTCTCTACTCGTCAGAAACCAGCAAGGGCTTAGAGAAGAACCAAAGAGTAGGGCCAACATACCACGATACTTCCATGGCCCACTTTTCCAGTCTCCAGGGATTTTAGGCTAGGGAATTCCTAAGCTAGAGGTGACATGGATTTGTTTAACACCTGTTGAAGGATCTTTCTTCCCTGAATTAGTTTTGAAGTGTTCTGGTTTTTGCAGATTCATTTTAGGTGACATTAAAGACTAAGTCTAGTGCACATTAGATGGGGGTAAAAATGATGTTAAAAAGCTATCACTTGAAGACATTTCTGTCAGGCTTTATAACACAATGTTCTTGAGGGTTATATAATATTTTAAATAAACAGGTTTATGCCTTCAATTTTCAAGCCAAAGTACCATTTCAATACTACTGACTTTACCTTGGTATATTGCTCACGCTCATGTTCTTGGCTAGAACCAGACCCTGATGTCTGATTATAACGGTGCACTTTCATTTTCATCTGTCTCGTTCGCTCCTCCACTACTAAGCTTGCTGCAAAAACACACAATGAAAATAAATTAAAAACAGTGAAAACTTTTTGGAAAAACCAGTGGTTTAGCAACAATTTTAGCTTATTTCCATCTCAATGAAACAAAGAAATGTACAAACATGTAGAACAAGCAGGGTGTAAACACAGAACAAAGGAACACTTATGTCAAGAAATCAACCACTTCCATTGCAAGAGTGTTTACCTGAAAATGGGCAGACATCCCAATTTTCTATACATAATCAAGCTGGTGCAACAGATATGAAAAGAGTGAAAGAATTTAGGTGATAGGCTGAATTATAAACCTGATAAGTATTCTGGATGCAAGGGACATAAATCCATGATCATCTAACCAGGTATTATGTAGAAAATATTACAGCAGCATTCTAAGAATAATTGCATTAAACAGGTATTAAAATTTAAAGTAATTAACTCCTCCTACTATCTTAAAACATAACTGCTTACCATAGCTAAAGATTATTTGAGAAGAATAATTTATCCATTCAACCAGTCATAGTAAAAAATACAGTAATTTTCTAGCAATTTTATTTTTTTTACAAAAAGTCCTTTAAAAGCACTACTTTGCTCTCTAATGTTCACTTCTATTTCAAAGAAATTATTTGTTCTTGTGCTTTCAACTTCCCTATGACATGTTTGTTTAAAAAAGAAATCTAATCTCAAACCTTCAAGAAGTTGTGGTGCTATAAAGAGCATTTTCTTCAATTTGAACAAGTTATGGCAATTAATCTTGGCTGTGCTTGCCACAGGAAGATGACCTTCTACTAACGGAAAGAGTGGGGTGAAAGCCCGTGGGCTAAGGGTTCCTTAAAATAAGTTAACCTTTGTGGTAGTGGGTAATTTTCAGAGGGAACTATATATACTGCTATTCTTAAACTTGGGAGCACTATAAATGCAAAGGAATACCAATAAAAGAATACCTTGAAAACCTGCACTTTTTAACAGTTCTAGAACTAGACCCAAGTACTCATCAGTGACTATTCTAAATAATAGAAGTACTCACTATGCTCATTGTGTTTTAACAGGTTATAACATCCCAGAACAACTTCTCTTCATTAGAAATTTTTGTGTGGTCACAAATTCAAGACTGGCATTTTATTTGCAAAATCTTCTGCTTTTGGGTCAACCATGGATTTATATGACTCTCCAAAACAATGAGTTTTAAAAGTCAAGTTTTTTTGTAAACAGCCCTCCCCAGACCAGTGACAGGAGAAAGACACTAATTTAAAAGCTGCAGAGAATCAATTTTCAATCACAAAACACAGAGAATTTTAAATTAGTGGAAGATAAGTACTCTATCATGTTGTTTAAAGATCTGTATTGTGAATTAAGAGGTACCAAAGTTCTCATATGTGGGTGTTATGCTGTTAACTGCGGAATTCTTTACACATCTATTTTTTGTCTGTGCTTTGCAAGCACAAAGATACAAAAGAAAAACCAAACCCCAAACAGTACACTCAGGGTTGGATATTTCAAAGTGTGTGCTACTGCACAAATCACAAGTGTGCACGCACGTACCATCCGTAATATGCTTGTGGAAATGATGGAATGTCTGTGCGCTGGCTGGGTATGAAAAAATATACAAGACATCACTGTGAAAAATATGTTGCTTTCATGTCCTCCTTTCACATTTCTGATTTAAAAATAGGAAAATTAAATACAGCAAATTACATTAAAATTCTGCTACAGCTACAAGTTTAAGGCATGAAATAAAGTTATCATTGTAATCTTCAATCTCCCACACGCAGAGGGTCCAATCTAGGAAATTCTGCACATGCAGAACGTCACACTGGGCCCAGCAATTATTCCAGATGACTAATTATGTCGGTAAATGTGTACCTTAATTGCAATGAGTCCAGTTCCACCATCAGATATGCAGGCACAGCTCCAATTACTTCAATGGAAGTTGCATGGAGGTATCTGAAGGCAAAATTGAGCACTTTAGGTGAAATTTTTAAAGATGGCCTCTTATTTTAAGGACAGATACGAAAGGATTAAGATATACCAAATAGTGACTGAAGTGAAAAACTCAGATATCTTAATCCTATCATACTTGCGTGAAATAGACTGAGGATATAAAATAAGAGGGAAAATTGAGACCCCTTTAAAAATTTAGCCCTATATGTGTATGGTGCACAGATTACAGTTACTCTAGAACATAACCCTTCCACTGTGTGACTTTTAAGTGTTTCACCCTGTCAACTGTATATTATACTAAATAATTTATATGATAGAATGTTACTCTGTATTACTTGCAATACCTGAAAAAGAATATTCTATTATGTAATGAGATGCTAATTCGGTGACTATATGTGAAAATTACTGCGGTTGAGGTTGGGTAAATATTCAACCTTAACTCCATAATTCTTGATTTTTGTTATGTTTAAATCCTTAACCTTAACAACACGCTTATGTTCTGGTTTTCATTATTAGAAATCATTAGATAAAATAGCATGAGAACAATTAATGAGGACTGTGAAGTAAATCTAAATTCTCTAATGGAGAAATTTGGTTTTGTGTGCATGGAGTAAAAAGTAATTTAGCACCAATTAGCTGTAAACGTATTTCTAAGCAAGCAACTGTGTGAAATGTAAGTCTGCTCTAGAAGATACAACTGTGTTCTTTCTTCCAGCTTTGTTTACCATGCACATCTGAGCACATGTTGTATCCAGCTCAGTTCTGTGATGGAAAATTTCAGCTGCCTGATAAGTAGCCTGGTATACTCTTTACACGTTAATCACAAGAAGCAGAAAAAAATCTAACACAGGAGCAAAAGCACATTAGCAAAAGCTGTAACAACCAGAGGTAACGCCACCATACAATCACATTACTTTCTTGGAACACAGCTGGTTACCACAGGTAATGAAAATTTGACATAAACAATACTTCAAGGACTTAACCTGCCTCTTAGAAAAATATAGATCTACTTTCTTTTAGGACATCAGTATGTACAGAGTGCTTTTCCTGGAGCTCTTGAGAGGTAGGACTACACAGTAATTTACAGATTGAAGCACTGTAATCCCAAGACCTTTAAATTCTACAGCGGCCCTAGAATTCAAATTATGGAGGTTTACCATAAGTGTCTCAAATTAGTGGTACAACTACCATCGATAGCAGTTGTGTCAACATGTTACTCTCTTTGGTGTCAGAAGTGATGCTTCAAAGAGCTATAACTCTCATCTCTTCAAGAGCTGCTGATTCAGATGTGAGATCAATCAGTGTAAGAAGTAATTGAAAGAAGAGAACTCATTGAGCAGACTGCTTAGATAAGGGGTGCAAGTTTAGAGCTAAGGCTTTTACTACTACTAAACCATCTGAAGGCTGTACAACAAGGATGTACATAAACAATCAAGCCATGCAGGAGAGAAAAGACAGACATACGAATGGAATCAAAATGTTATACTTCAATTCCATTAATATATTTATAAACCGGTCTGACTCCTGTAATCCCAGGTGTACTGGGTCTGGCTGGGATGGAGGTAGTTTTCTTCACAGCAGCCTGTAGGGTGCTGAGTTTTAGATTTGTGACTAAACCAGTGTTGATAACACACCGATGTTTTAGCAATTGCTGAGCAGCGCTTGCGCAGCACCAAGGCCTTCTCTGTTTCTCATGCTGCTCCACCACCCCCACAAGTAGGATGGCGATTGGGAGGGGAAACATCTGGGACATCTGACCCCAGCTGACCAAAGGGACATTCCATACCATAGAGCATCATCCTCAGCAATACAACTGGGGGTAGTCTTTCCAAGGTCACTGTTGCTCAGAGACTGGCTGGGCATTGGTCTGCTGGTGGGAGGTGGTCAGTGATTGATTGCCTTTGCATCACTTGGTGGTGGGGTTTGTGGGTTTTTTTTCCCTTTTTCTTCATTTTTTTCCCCTTCACTTATTAAACTGTCTTTATCTTGGCTCATGAGTTTTTAACTCACTACTGCTCTTCAAATTCTCTTTCCCATCCCACCGTGGCGGGTGGAATGAGTGAGCAGCTGGTGGGAGCTTAATTGCTGGCTGGGGTCAACCCACCACTCCAAGCTACCAAGAATTAACTGCCCAACATAGTTCTGAATGCTCTTCCGTCAAACAAAGAAAAGTTCCCTTAGCTATTACTTAGTTTATTATTCAACTCACTGCTAAGTCCCATCTGGCTTCCACTGTGAATGGGATTCAAAGGAAGAAGACATGGTCTACAAAGTTTAAGATCATCTCCCATTCCATAGGCTAGCAGGTCCATCAGCTCCTCCTGGGTCTCTTCCTCACATGTCATTCAAGAAACATCCTTGTGAAGACTGTTCACTTCGTACTGTAATTCACAACAGATCTTACAGCATTCTAAATATGCTACATGCTGGAAGTATAACTAAACATCTGGATTTCCAGTCTTTGCAGAGGTGATCATGGTATTACTAAAAGAATAATTTAACACATGCACATAATGGAAGAGTCATTTTTTTATTCAAAAAGTAATTAAAAAACTTGCTTGTATTTCTTGTGATAAAAGGAGTTTTGATTACCATTAAAGGCAGTTCTTGGTACATATTTCCATTGTAAATAAAGGTTTTGGTTTTTTTTTTATTGACAGACTATAAAATACATGCTGTCCTCTGAATGTCTAAAATACTCAAGTCCATAATATGCTACTTAAAGGAAGTAGGGAATAAATGGAAGAAAATAGCTACAGATCTCATTTTCAGCCTGCAACCTACCCTTAAAGAAAATTAGAACAGGCTAACAGTTGTTTTTTCTCCAAGGAGACGGCCATTTCTTAATTTTTCTAAGACATTATCTGTTTACTAAGAATTTATGTACTAGTCATACTCCTTTTATTATGTCAGCGCTATGGTAAGGTTTATAGATTTACATCTGATGATATTAACTAGTTGACAGCCCTCATCTTTATTTCTGTCCTCAGAAAACTAGTGTGGGCACATTTCAACTCCTACCTGCTGTTTAACTGATAGAGAAGCTAGAGCTGGCTAGAATCCTAACTGT